GGGGTACCCCAGGGCTCCATACTGGGACCACTGGTTTTTAATATATTTATTAATGACATATTTTATAAGATTAAGGACTCTGTATTGTACAATTATGCTGATGATAACACTTTAAGTTATGAAAACAAGAATGTTGATGTGTTAAAGAAGGTCCTTGAAAGAGAGGCTAAAGTCCTGATCGATTGGTTTAAATCTAACGGAATGCAAGCCAACCCAGATAAGTTTCAGGCAATTTATTTTGGAAAAAATCAAAATGATTTAACAAATTTTGAAATTGAAGGAGTAAAAATTGACTGTGAAGAAAATGTAAAGCTACTTGGAGTAAATATAGATTCAAAATTAAATTTTAACCAACACATCTCAGAGCTATGTAGAAAAGCCTCAAAACAGTTGGCGGTACTCAAGCGAATTGGAAACTCCTTACCAAAAAATGTAAAAATGTTAATTCTCAAATCCTTTGTAATGTCAAACTTTAATTTTTGTCCTGTTATTTGGCACTTTTGTAATAAATCTAGCACAAACAAGATGGAAAAAATCCAGGAGAGAGGACTCCGTTTTGTACTAAATGATTATATCTCAGACTACAAAGATATTTTATCGAGCACAGACTCATATTATTTACATATTAATCGCATGAAACTCATTGCTTGTGAAGTTTTTAAAATTGTTAATAAGTTATCTCCTGACTACCTACAAGAAATAATAAATATAAAATGTTTATCTTATTCATTTAGGAATGAAAATACAGCACAGCTTCCAAGGGTCAACACCAAAAGGTATGGAAAGAGGTCCTTCCGCTATGAGGGCGCCCGCATATGGAACAGCCTGCCGAACGAATTGCGTAAAGTGGAGAACTACTCTGAGGTCAGCAGACTGATCCGTAGGTGGGACGGGCCCGAGTGCGGATGCACTTTATGTGTTGGTTAGCGTTTTTGGCTACCTATTTTTTTCCTGCTTTGTATGTGTCCTGTGCTGGCTGAAGTGTATTGTTTAAAATATAACGTACAGCTTTACATATGGCTCTGTGCTTTTTGTCAGCTTTGTAGTTTACAAGCTCTTCGTAGCTTATGTTGTATGTTTATAATATTCGACGTAAAATAAAGCTTCTGTATCTGTATCTGTATAAAGATATTGAGTGTGACTTGATCCCTCTGTTCAGATGATGAAATATATCTTCACAAGAATTCCACCCAGTCACATTACACTAATAACAGGTAAATCAGTTGTTGCATTTACCCTAAATGCTAAGAATATTCTTACCTATGAGCATGAATAAGGGCGTTGAATCCCAGGCCATTTCTCCAGCTACTAGAGAAGTTTGTAATATTGATACCAGGGTACCTGTAACAAAAATTAAACCAAGGGAGATAACCCATGTTGTACTACAGGAGTAGTTCAATACTATAACATTCTTGTATAAAGATAAAATACTTAACATAGTACACTTTGAACTTGGTGCAAATTTCATTTTACAATATTAAAGAAAGTTGATCTTTTAACGGATACTTTTACTTTTTGATAAAACTTTACTGTGCACATTTAAAAAAAACTACTGTGCACGTAAACAAAAAGCAATTAGTATACCGTAAAATTAATTTGTAAAGTGTATTGAAAGTGTAGCATCTTTTGTCTAATTCAAGAGTCAAAATCAAACATGTCCTGGTTCAACAAAGAACATACTTTTTTACACCATTATCGATCAGGTTGGTATGTGCATTTGTGGACAGGGTATTTACTTCCTCATCAATTGTTTAATTTTTTTTGTAAGGAAGGTGCTTTGGAAAAAGTGTAAAGGATCTTTTTGACAGTTTCCTTTAATCTGATTGGTGTCAAAGGATCGTTGAGTACACTTATATATAGACAAGTGCTTAGGGGACAGTGCTAAGGTGTTTTCAACTAATTGCAATGTCATTGTCACCTGCTTTTACGATCTTTCCTGTAGGAGATTAAAAATGTGTATATCATTAAGAGAATCATTAAACAAGTGACATTTGCATTTCAGACACTTGTAGTGTTTTAGACCCATCTCTGTGCCAATTATCATAGAAATACCAACGATTGTGAATAAAGCATACAAGTAAGGCCTCCATATTTGTCTAAATCCAGGTATATTATCTTACTGCATAACCAGCAGAATCATCGCCAAGTTTCTACCTGTAAGATGTGGTAATTAAACATCTGATTAAACAGTTACTGCCAGGTATGATTTATTCATGAGAAAGGTTTATAAAAAATACTCCGCAGTATCTCTAACCTTGCAAAATACCCTGTACCAGCCAGGTAAATCAATTCTACCGAACATTACATCAATGACCTCCGTCAGTAGACAGCTTTACAGACGTCGCTTGACGTGACTCACTAGCCATATTCACATAAAACTCATGCTAATATTCAATACTGAAAGCTACAACATAATATCACGGAAAACCTGTTTCACGAAACCTAAAGAAGATTCAATGAAATAAGAATCTAACAGTTTTTGCAGTAAATGTCTGTGTACTTTTTGTATTATGAAATCCATACTTGAACAATCTGTTGCCTTCCATGTCATTACATGGTTGATAGCGTCACTATTGACCTCCATTTTAATTGACTTGATGATGATAAGAGCTGACAAACCTAGACTCAATTATATGGAGTTTTATAAGCTTGATGAAGTAGAACTTTTAAACATTTTTTTCCACAAAAGCAATTGTAAAAATACAGAAGTTTTCAGGCATTTTATGTAGCGCCTAGTGGGCCTTTTAAAATATTACCAGGATATGTAGGTTTAATTTCTTTGGTAGTAATTCTGAAAATATTGGGGATTCCAGTCATATATTGATGAGTGGTTAAGCTGACAACATTGAATATAAATGGGTCCCTAAGAGTTTTTCTCAAAGGACATTAAGTAGAGAGACGTTACCAGACCGTAATTATAGATCGAGGTTCAGGGACAAATCAAATATAGCTTGTTGATATTGATATCAATCCTTACGATCTTAAAATTTTCGTTCATGTCAATAATATAAGCAAAATACAAATCAGTCTGTTACAGGACGCCAATATCTTTGTTTTGTATGTTCAAAGAGATCACCAAGTATTTATCCACAGCCATAATCTTGAATTGGCAGAATACAACAGACAAGTTACGCAATAACCTGAATAATTTAATGGTAAACACAACCTAACTCCTGTAGAATACCTTTAATAGGTACATAGCCCACAGTGACAACGCCATCACCCTGGCACAGGAATGGGAAACCCAACTAAACCACAGCTTATGAATAATTTGTGGATTATATATCCTACTGCTGTGAGGTATGCCTCAATCCTATATATATACGTACAAAGACTTGAGACTCCTACCTACATTATACTATACAGAGTAAGTCTCTCCCCTACATACAAAGTTGTAACATACTATTTATAGTGTTTTTTTCTGATTTGGGACCTAAAAGTCCCATATACTTAGGTCCCAATTTCTATTGGTAGCCCGTTTTAAAATAAGATGATTTTTTTAGCAGCCTCCAAAAGATTGTTCCAAATATGTAAATCTCCGAGTCTCACAAATATGTAACACTCCGAGTCTCACAAATATGTAAATCTCCGAGTCTCACAAATATGTAACACGCCGAGTCTCACAAATATGTAAATCTCCGAGTCTCACAAATATGTAACACTCAGAGTCTCACAAATATGTAATACTCCGAGTCTCAATCTACCTATATTAAGCTTAGGATGAGCTGTATCTGAAAAATATTCCTGAGTTTTGTTTTATAATTTATCTAAACATGCTCTTTTTGCATATAATCTAAACTTATTCTGACATTTTTTTTTATAGTAATCTAACCCTACTCCTGAGTTTGTATATATAGTAATCACAGCTTACCACAGAGTTTTGTTAACAGTTTTACACTGATGCTGAGTTTTGCATAGTAATCTAAGCTTACTCTGAGATCTAAGTAGAGTAATCTAAGCTTACTCAGAGATTTAAGTAGAATAATCTGAGCTTACTCAGAGATTTAAGTATAGTGATCTGAGCTTACTCTGAGATTTAAGTATAGTAATCTAAGCTTACTCTGAGATTTAAGTAGAATAATCTGAGCTTACTCTGAGATCTAAGTAGAGTAATCTAAGCTTACTCTGAGATTTAAGTAGAATAATCTGAGCTTACTCAGAGATTTAAGTAGAATAATCTGAGCTTACTCTGAGATCTAAGTAGAGTAATCTAAGCTTACTCTAAGATTTAAGTATAGTGATCTGAGCTTACTCTGAGATTTAAGTATAGTGATCTGAGCTTACTCAGAGATTTAAGTATAGTGATCTGAGCTTACTCTGAGATTTAAGTACAGTGATCTGAGCTTACTCTGAGATTTAAGTATAGTGATCTAAGCTTACTCTGAGATTTAAGTAGAGTAATCTAAGCTTATTCTAAGATTTGTGTACCTAATCTGAGCTTAATTATAGTAATCTGAGCTTACCCCTGAGTTTTTCTTTGACACCATAACAATAAGGCATCTTTAGCTGATCTTTTCTCAGTTGATTCTTCATCCTGAAAATGAAAATAACACAACGATATTTGACATGAAAATTTTGATTTAACAACTACCTAAGGTACCAATTATGTCTGAAGTTTCATCTGATAAAATTGATAATCATTTATCAGAAAGGGACATAACTGCCATAAACAGACAAAATTAATATGTATTAGTATAGGTGCACAACTACCAAGAAAGTTCACTGTGAGTGTGAACTTCTCATAAAATTGTGACCAAAAAAATACCGTAGGAGTTCTGCAGACAGGATTTGGTTGAAAGTTTTGTAAAAGGATCATCTCGTAAAAATAGTCTGATCAAAAGAAATAAGCACAGGTACAAACCTTCAAGTGTCGTGATTATATTTTGGACTTTCATAAAATTAAAAAAAAAAAATCTCTAGGGGAAATTATCTCGACAAATTAAATTTGTAAAAGGGCCATAACTCTCATAATTATTGCTGCATGAAATTATATGTACTGGAGCACTACTTCAGATAATGACGACTACATTAGTGGAATTTCAATAAATAAAGTGGAAACTAACCTCCCCCACCCCTCCCCTAAATATATAGATACTATAATTGTATACTCAACAACCCCTGCAAATACATTTATAAGGACATTACAAAAGTCCAACGCACTGACTGCCAGCCTAACTCACTCCAAACTATGAATGACAATATTTTCAGTAAAAATCTTACCACTTCAATTTCAATCTCTTGGATTTGGAAGCGAAGGATTATGGTCCAGATGAGACCGAGTATAAGCCGAGGGTTTCCATCTACAATATCTTCTGCTCCGATATTCTCAAAGTAGACCTGCAACAAATGAGACATACATATTGATCAGCATAATCATGTGCACTGAATTCTGTCATAAAATGATGATGTTAGTTTAAAATATTCTGTCTTCCCCGTATAAACATACTCCTACTAACTCAGGAAATAACTTGACATGCTTTAAAAGAAATATCTTTTATCATACTTGCCAAAACTCCCTGTTCTGGAGGGAGACTCCCAATTTCGGACCCCTAAATTTAACTATTCCTTAAGTATGTGTTATTTTAATGTATTATTGAGTCCCTATGATATACACAAATTTTATTTATGCTTTCAGTATTCAGCATGCAGAATCTTCCCTCTGGAAATTGTATAAGGTTGGAAAGTATGTTTTTCCTTGAACCAAAGTACCACTGATCACTTCAGAATGTTAGAAAAACAGAAATTCAGAATGTTGAAAAAACAGAACTTCAGAATGTTGGAAAAACAGAACTTCAGAATGTTGGAAAAACAGAACTTCAGAATGTTGAAAAAACAGAAATTCAGAATGTTGAAAAAACAGAAATTCAGAATGTTGGAAAAACAGAAGTTCAAAATGTTAGAAAAACAGAAATTCAGACATTAATTGAAATGTACCACGTAAAAAACTAGAATTTACATAATCTGATGTAATCCTACATTCATCTTTCAAGTTTTATAATGTTATCTTTTAATGATTTGGGACACAAAAAATGCTGGTTTAAATTCCAACAGTCATTCTGAAAACTTGACATTATTTAAATATGAACTGTTATTCCATTAAATTCTTTTGTGTCATATTGATTATGACTACGCCCATGAAAGATTGAGATTTCTTACGCTTCCATGTGACTGTCTCTTAAATTTGAAATCTCTATCTTACAAAATTAAGAGGAAAAGATTCAAATTTTGCAACATTTTTAAGCATTAAGGGGGGGGGGGTGTAAATTCTGTACTGGTAGATTTGTAATAATTAACACTACATAGCTAGGGCACCCTCCATCCTAGATATAACACTGATGGAGGTAATACTACAATGTATCAGACAGATTTGAGCTCAAAGAAACAGAAATACTACATTCCAGAACGAACACAATTCTAAACACTGTATTTCTTCCGCAACAATGCTTTTCTAATAAATCGCCCCACAGCTTTACAAACAGAATTCCTTGTCTGAACATAGTTCTAGTTATTTTTGTGTGGATGAGTGAACATCTCTTCGCTAGGATGGATGTGTCATGGAATATTCCCTACCCGTAATTCAACAATGCACATCACACATCTATAGTATCAACAACAATTTTTAGAGTGAATTTAAGTTTCCCTTCAGCCATAAAAAAAGGTACAAATACTAGGACAATGTGAGTCTGCCTTCAAATAGAAGTTATTAACATATAATATACTTTTTAAATGGTATATTGTGTCGGGCCCCATGAGACACATTACCCATGTCTTGGGGACCTATTTATACCCTATGAAGTGTTTTCCTGGTCCAGTGAACAAACAAGATCAGCAGTTTTGATGTGTTCTTTACTAAAAGGCATCCTGACAGCACAACAAAGCCTGGAATGATGGCTTCACTGACCAATAGGGGGGGGGGGGTAATGGCCTCTTTCCCCTCGAAAAAATCTTGGATTAAACAATACAGGATATTATAACTGTGTCTTACCTTGGTAGCTAAGAATTTCAGACATCTACTACAATTTTCCACTTTCTGTACTCGCATTAATCCCTTGTTGGGTTTTCCAACTGTTTCTCCCGAAATGATCTCCAAAAGTTTCATTAGAATCTTGCCGTCAGCAAGATCTGTAAAGAGATCCTTGATTTCCAGTCTTGCCTGTAACCAAAGAAATACATACATTAAACAAGTTGTTAATAAGGAAGTAATTTATAAACACAATGCAACCAGACATTAAAGTAACTTTATCAACAATAATACCTTTATTTCATTTGTTGAAGTACCTCACTCAGAGGCAAGACATTGTACATCAAACAAAATCGTATAACGCAGGTGTATGTGCTAGCTGTTCGCAGGTGTATGTGCTAGCTGTTCGCAGGTGTATGTGCTAGCTGTTCGCAGGTGTATGTGCTAGCTGTTTGCAGGTGTATGTGCTAGCTGTTCTGGTCAAACACAGTACATGTGCTAATTAGGGACAGATATCAAGTCTATGTGTCAGACATCACGATATCTGGAAGATATATTCAATATGTATTTCGCAGTTATTTGAAAACTTTTATCAGGCGAATATAGCAGGTAAAATATAAGATAACATTAAATACCAAAATATACTATGTAGACATCATTCAATTCTCATATAACTTCACTTCTGGCTTGAAATAATAATTTTCAACAACTGAAAATGGACGAAGATCATTGCCAATTATATTTACCGATAGCGGTCATAAATTGTTTTGAATGGAAACTGTCACATTTCATCTTTATTCCCCAACATAGATGTAAGACTGGCTTAATTGTTTTGACATATCCTTTTTAATGTTATAGACATGTAACTTTAGTTGTTCTTCTAACTGCCACTGTAGGAGAAGTATTGACGATTCATTCCATATGCGTGTGCACGTTCATGGTATTTCATGTATATTTCAGTTTTCTCTGACATTTAATGCAATAAAAGCACAATGTGTCCGTCTCAAATACATTATTTTTGGATTTAGCAGTTTTGAAAGTACACCATTGCGAAAAAGGCAACTTGAAATGTGCAGACGCCTTGACGTATTTCTCATCATCCTCCCTCTGCCATTTTCGTTTGTTGAGTGCTAAAACTATTTTTTCATTGAAGAGTTCTAACAAGGGAGAGTACACAATTTAAAGTATTGTAGGTATCCCGATACTGCCTTGCCGCATCAGTGCATCATCTCGCGGCCCTTGCTATCCAATACATTGATGCATCGGTGAATCATTACACCCCTAGTATATGTATATATGGGGATATATAAATTCCACATCCCAGGGTAGAATTCCCCTATCTCCCATTCTTTTTCTCTCACTTCATACCTGCAGCTAGAACTTATAAAGATGTTCAAGACAATGTAAGCATTAAACAATATATGAAAGGCAATTAATAATTAGATAGAGCAGAAAAAGGTAGCTAATATATATACCAATGGTAAAAACTTCACAGCTAGGTTGTTTAATAATTGTTGATTTCTACGAGTGATGTCAGTTGCCGACAGTGTTTTGACAGTAGATATTTTCCCGATGATAATAATGACAGTTTAATGACGGCACGTATCACATTCCAGGACCGCAGCCAACAAGATACTTTATCTTTTGAACTCAAATGATTCGTTTTTGTATACACTTTGATTTACAGTCTCAATAAAAAAGTGTAATTCCCAAACTAAAGGTCACTGAGTGCACCTAATGTACTACAGAGAAAAATGTGAACTGGGTGCAGAATAGTTATCGCGACAGTTGATGTTGATAGCATTGTAATTCCAGTTTGATATTATATAAGTATATTCATATTCAATTTATCAATCAATTCCTCAAACCCTGCTGCTTTTTTTCTTCATCGATAGATTCACCAAACATGTCAACTTAAATAGTTTACAATGCAATTTAAGTTAACTGGTACATCACAATAGCTGATCTCAACAACTGGTACATCACAATAGCTGATCTCAACAACTGGTACATCACAATAGCTGATCTCAACAACTGGTACTTCACAATAGCTGATCTCAACAACTGGTACATCACAATTAAAGCTGATCTCAACAACTGGTATATCACAATAGCTGATCTCAACAACTGGTACATCACAATAGCTGATCTCAATAATGGTACATCACAATAGCTGATCTCAACAACTGGTACGTCACACTATTAGGATAATCATGATTACACAAATAAGACCATATACAGGGCAATTTTCGTTGCAATTTGTTTTTTGCATTTATTTCCCTGTAGAATGGAGGTGATTTTTTATCATTACCACAAACATTAGTAAACAACATAGTATACATAGCATGTAAATGTGAGGGCGAAATTAACACTAGGTGAATATGGATTTAATCGGTGAAGGGCGAAATTAACACTAGGTGAATATGGATTTAATCGGTGAAGGGCGAAATTAACACTAGGTGAATATGGATTTAATCGGTGAAGGGCGAAATTAACACTAGGTGAATATGGATTTAATCGGTGAAGGGCGAAATTAACACTAGGTGAATATGGATTTAATCGGTGAAGGGCGAAATTAACACTAGGTGAATATGGATTTAATCGGTGAAGGGCGAAATTAACACTAGGTGAATATGGATTTAATCGGTGAAGGGCGAAATTAACACTAGGTGAATATGGATTTAATCGGTGGAGGGCGAAATTAACACTAGGTGAATATGGATTTAATCGGTGAAGGGCAAAAGTTCCCTGTATACAGACTATTCCGTCTTTGCGTATTGCAGAGTTATCATCTCTTGAGAGCAGGTATTGATTGTTATGTCATTTGTTTGTGAGAGTAACGTCATCAATTTTTGAGAAAACGACGTAATTTTTTCACACGAACCAATGACGTAACAATCAATACCTGCTCTCAAGAGAAGATAACTCTGCAATACACAAAGACGGAATATCACGTTGATGAGAGTTTATCACAGACGTTTGAAGTGCAAAACGTTTCATGTTCCTTTGACTGCACTGTTGCTATAACATCTTTGCTTATATATATATATACATACTTCTTTGTTTATATCATATAACATATAAACTCATTTAAGGAGCTTCAACGGTAACACTATCATATATGTTATCAAGCTGGCATCAATCAGGTAAATACTCCATGATAGTTCGATTGACACCTGATAACTATATACTTGCTTTGAAATACAGAAATATCACCCTTATACATTTATTATAAACATATATATATGCCAATTTCATTAATGAACAATTTAAACTAAAAAATCACTATTTTGTAAGACTACAGTGGTCACACATGTATATGAATGCTACATTAGTGATCAAGGGAAGTGTGTGCAGTTTTACCTGTAAGGTGTATTGTTTTACATATCATACAGGTGTTCTGTTTACCTGGCTAGCTGTATACCGCTGTTAATTAGCTCGAGGAACACCTAATGTATTACGAGTTACAGGTATTTCTTGTCCTGTCCGTCTATCTGTGATCAAGACAGATTACACAGGGGTGCTGACAGGGCTCTATTTATCTTTGGCATTAAGACAAGGGGCACGTGTTCGCTAAGCAAAACCAACATCTTTTTTTCAGACTGTGCAAAAGTAACACTTTGAATTGAAGAGATTGAGATATCAAACAAAAATATTTTCACAGGCTTTTTTTCAGAAGTGACACCCCAAGCAAGTTCACCTGGGTTTACAGCTGTATTCAGTAACAGAATGACACCAGTGCTGGAGCAATCCACAGAATTATCAGACCATAAACTGGGACCTATCACTGAAAATGTGTAATCTAGTACAACCGAGCCAGCTAGCATAGATTTTATCTGATTGTGGGTTTAGACTTAAATTCTGTCTTCACCTGTATAAAGGTGTGGTACGGTACCAGGTATACATTGTATTGTTACCTAGACTCACACACAATGGTCAGGGAGGGGACACAACCATTACCCAGGATAGTTTAATAGGCTACTTAAATAACCATACTTGCTAAATTCTCCGTAGCTTCGTACAGATGTATACAAAAATCAATTAAATCTTATTTTACATGCATGTGAACGAAAACAGTCTAACGATTACCAGAGAGTGGACAACAATGGCTTATTGCAAAATGTCTGACATACAGAAGTAAGGATATGGTTATAATGCTACATGCCAACCTTCACCATTTTCATTGTAGGGGCATCAGGTAATGTGGAGTTAAATCATTTATCAACTTTAATACAGTAGAAATGAATATCTGCACAGTAGTATACTGAAGATCTAAACTTAATTAACAACTGTAAAATAGTTTCATAAAGTCTTCTAATCAACACATGCACATTTAAATAATTCTGTGTTCGAGCAGTGTTGTGAAGATTATATTTAACTACAGAAATCTAAGTGAAAATCTCGGCTAATACAATACGCCCAGTAAAATTGGCTAAGATAAAGTCAGCTGCAATATACAGTTATATCAAAGCATGATATTAATGTGTAACAACTTTCGTAAAAGTCTGATTAGAGACCTAATCAGGACATTTATATGTAAATCAGAATACAGAAGACTTGGCTAAGGATTTTTACAAAATGGGCATTACTCCAAAACAAAAAAGCTGGATAGAAAAATAAAGAGTAGGTGTTCAAATTCAGAGTGATGTCACCAGTGGCATTTACAAAATCTGGATTTAAATTGTAGGAGAAGTTGTCTGGACAAAATTTTGCTAACTTTTTGTAAAACTTGGACGTAACTCCTTTAAAATAGCCAGATAAAATTAGTAAGCAACTTCATTGTGGCGACAAAATTCAGATAAGCTGAACATTAAGAAGATCTAAATTATCCTCTATACAGCAGTGAAGAGAAGATCCAACACATACACTACACACAATGATTAATTTGAATAAAGATCAATTACAATTTAAAATGACAAAATACGAACTGCTTCATCATGCATACAGATAATAAACAGTAATATATGTTAATAGGTAATGATGAATATTTCAGCAGATTGCATTACTGTGTATCTAGATAGTATATATGAGTCACAAACTCTGCTTAGCATGACAAATCTGTGATAGGAAATCAATAGATGTCGTGCCAGGCATACCTCAGATACCTCATTGCGTACAGTAAAGTCTGATGAGTACAGCACAATGTAGACGGAGCTTACCGTAGCATACCATAAAACATGTGTCAATTTATG